CAAAAAAAAGCTATTGGAAGATTTCAAAAAAGACTTTACCTTTGGTCATTTTTTGAAAATGTAAAAAACTAAAAGTGACTTCAAATTTTTAAGAAGGAAGAGAGTTTACAAAAAAAAAACTGTGGTACTTTAGACTATTCTGGTAAGAGTAAGACTATTCTAAAAGAAACAGTCTATAAAGCAAATGAACCCAGGGAAGGTAAATACAGTATTTCACTAAGATAATTATTACCTAAAGTGGAAATCAAAATTTCTCAAAGGTCACTATAAAGATTTAAGCTCAACTTACAGTATGCCTCAAGTTACACACCAAAGTATCTTTCAGAAACTCACAGGAAGGAATAAGGAGTCTTCTGCAAGAACTCCAAATAGATCTCTTTATAGTTAAGGCGACTACACTTGTGAGGCCAGGGGGACTGGGAGGGGAACCTGCCTGAAATCCAAGTACCAGAATTCAGGCTGGCCTTAATTAAGTTCATGGCAATCCCCTTCAGCTGCCTGCGTGCCAGGATTACAGGCATGCACCACCATGCTTGGGTTTTGTAAGAGTTTTTCACCTTTAATGTTCTTTAACACTTACGTGGCAACCAAATATTCTTCACACAATCTGGATAAATTTTACATGTAAGCTTTCAATATAAATAGCAAACTAAAAAGAAACTAATCATGTAATCTACATATTTAAAGAGATAGTATCTCACATATAAGAACAATATATGCAAGATATGCCTTGTAAAGCTTCTAAATTATCTATAAAGGCCTAACATTAATTCATTTTGGAGTTTCATTTAAAAAAATCATAAACATATGAAGTGACTTCTAAAGTTATATTAAAATTAGGGATGATGACTATGAATGTAAAATATACAAAACAAAAATGCTTTTACAAAAATGAACCAGTCATCTAAGTTACCACAATTCCACACCTGAATGGTTTTACCACAAATGCCTTCAGAATTGATTTCTCACCCACTTTTTCTTTAGTTTAAAAAAAAAAAAACCAGAAGGGGCCAGGGAGATAGCTCAGTAGAATAAGTGCTTGCCCAGCAAGTGAAAGGGCTTGAGTTCAATCTCTTGGTTCCGCAAAACAAACAAACAAACAAAAAAAGCCACAAAAAAAAAAAAAAATAAAAAGAGAACAGAATCAATCAACCAACATTCCTAGTTAAACATACAAACTGTATGCACTGTCAATCAAACTATTATAATGAAAATTTTGTTGTGCAAGACATAGTACACAGAACAATGGATATCACATTCTAGTACATGGAACCAAATCTTAAATACAGTCTCAAATTATATAGAATTTGCATACATTTAAGTGGCATATTCATAAATTAGTAAATATATGAAATTTTTGTTTAAGACTCACTTTATTGCAGCATTAACTAGGAGGGGAAAATCTTCTGTTGGAATGTAATTTACATTTAACTAAAATTACCTGAATAACTTAATACTAACCGGTGTTTATAGGAAACATGAGGAAACACTACACCAAAAAGAGCCACAGAAGCATCAATGACTGAGACTCCCAGAGGGAGAGGACCAGGCACTGCTTCCCCAGCAGGTATTCGCAGGTAGATGGAGGAAGGGTCATGCTCCAGAGCCCCACTTCCAGATGCACTGTTTGGCTGGAGCTGCAAAGGAATCACATAAAAATTATTCAAAATCCTTAGGAAACTTACTAAGTTTTGGATATGAAGAACAGATCAGAGAAAGAAAAGGTAATAAAAAAGAATGACTAGACCTGAAAAATTTTTAAATAAGTAACAATATGATTTGGTCATTTAAAAATCACCATTAATACCTTACTGAACTTTAGAAATAGTCTTGCCCACTGAAAACATTTTCATAACTCCACATTAATGTGTGAGCAAAATAATATTAGCTAGAGTTACATAAATCCACAAAAATTACTACCATTATCATTATTATTACTGTGTTTAGTACAGGGTCTACAGAGTCTCACTACACAGATCAGACTCATAGCAATCCTTCCTGTTTTTCAGCCTTCCAAGCGCTGGGATTACAGCGCTTGAGTTCAATCCCTGGTTCCACACACACACACACACACACACAAAAAGAGAATCAATTAACCAACATCCCTAGTTAAACATACATGCCCAGTCTCATTTGTTGTCTCAGCATGCCCCAGGGGCAGGGCCAAGCACAGTACACCCAACCTGGGCCCCTGTGTCTGCCTAAACACACACTTTAATCCAACGAGCTATCTGGCCAGCCCCACAAAAATTATTTTAAAAGGGGTTTTATGTCTTTAAAAAGTACATAAAGTTATATACTCAGTGAGCAAAAATTTCTAATCTCTAACCTACCAATTCTCATTTTGGACCAACCTTATTAAACAAAATAAACTAAGACAAAACAAAGCAAGTTAAAGCTGACTTTTGCCAAAGTTACAAGATAAGACATTTTGCCAAATTCTAACCACTGCTGTTTACTTTTTTCACCATTTTTCTATAATCAAGATGGCATCATTCAGTGTCTTACAAAGCTAAATGAAAATTGAAGTTTAGTCCACAATATTTTATTCTTATATGACAATGTATACCATTATTTTAAATGAAGTTAATGTTCTATTTTCTTGTATGGTTTGTTACCTGATCTTCAATTGATTTATGATCAGTTTCTTGAAGCCAGGAACCAAGAAGAACACTATCGTCATAATGGCAGAGTGACCGGAGGAGAGAGGTAGTGGTGTTGGCTGAGTTATCAGTCAAGGTGAATTCTGCTACCAGTTCTCTAAGAAGTGCATTGAAAGATCCTTAAAAAAACCAATTTTAGATTAGATTAAAACTAATAATTTTTATGAAAATTACAATTATTACCTATAAACAGCAAAAATATGTTTAACAGGAAAAAATACCTATTACCTTTTTTTAAGAATTTTTTTACAAAAGCACAAATGCACAAGTTGAAATTCTTTTTAAGTTGCTTTTCTGTTGTTTTTAATTTTTATTGAGAAATAAATATGAATGAGACAGTTTCACAGCTGATTAATAGGACAGTTTTGATAATCAATACACTGTGCATTGTTATCTTCTTAGTAGTTATCCATAGTACAAGAAGCAGACAGGATATTCTGTCCAAACACGGTTAGTACATCTCTTTCTTCTCATTGAATTAAGCGAAAGTAGCTGTAAATTTATCCTCTTTCATATATATAAATACAAAATGATCTTTCCTTTGTATCCTTTGTTTTTTTTGTCCTGTCAGAGGTGAATATTCTATTGGCATCTAAATACTATAGGTGTTTGAATTCAACTAAACAATCTAACACTGTCTAGCAGTCTATAATATTAGTGGGTTATCCTCAGAAGTTATTGACTTGAGTCTTTTACAGCTCATCGTATTAATATTGATTTACTTTATATACCTCATTTTTATACTTTTCTGCTGGATGGTTAAGACCAAGATATAGCAAGATCTACATACCAAGAAATGTAACTTTTGTATCTGATAAGGCCAGTCAAGTACTCTCAGGATTTATCCTGTAGCCCTGTACCGCCTTTTGTACACCCTTTTGTCAGCATCTGACATGAGGATGAGTCATAGCCATTGCTTGATCAATTTGCTCTCTGTGAAAGCTTGAGAAAATGTTTTTTTCTCTCCATGTGACTCTCCCCAGGTAACTTAGGTTGTTAACCCTCCAGAAGAGAAGCTAATTAATAACCTACAATATGTGCAGTTCGGTTTACCCTATCTATCTAAATATCAAACATTTTGTGTATTTTTTTTTTTTTTTTTTTTTTTGGTGGAACCGGGGATTGAACTCAGGCCCTTGCGCTTGCCAAGGAAGTGCTTATTCCACTGAGCCATCTCCCCAGCCCCAATATCAAACATTTTGGCATATCATGGAACAGGTATTTTCCATTAGATATTGATATGTTGAACTTTAAGTCCTTACAAAATATGAAGGAAAAATAATTACATAAAAGTAGAAATAAGCATTTACATATTTTTACAAAGAAATTTAGAAACCTAACCATATATGGAATTGTAAGTCCTTATACTAGGGAGACAATACTATTTACAGATGTGGGTCTGGTTTATTTCACTAAGTATATCTTCAAGGGGTAGTTGAAATTTTTGAGAGGTACAGCATCACATGGATTCAGCGTCCAATGGCCTTAGCAGGAAGGTTACTTCAGAATTTGGCAGGAAACATGCTGCTGTTTCCAAGGGCCCAAGTTACTTTTCCCCAGATCACTCTGGTTTTGTTTGGTTTGCCACCTAGAGTCACTGTGCTTTTTGCTTTGTACACATAAGCACATCTCTTGCTCAAGTAGAATTCAGTTTCACCCTGGGCATTAACACCTTCAATTTTAAGAGCTGTATGTTCCATCTGGTTTCAGAGTCCCTGCTTATAGCCAGCAAAAATGGTCTTGCACCAGTCTTCCAGACATATTTACCTTTTAGAAGTCCATGCCTCCCCAGCATCCAAGATGGTGGAAAAAGAAAGACCCCTATTGTCTTTTTTTTTTTTTTTTT